CGTTGAAATATGAACTGGCAAATTCGTAATTAATCCGAAATCGGAATGAGTTCTTCCGGTGGTGTTTAGAACCACGCCCCATCGTTTACCTTTACCTTTCGAAAGTCGAAAAACAAACATTTGGACGCTAAATATGACAAATGTTGTTTCACCACGATAAGCAAAAGGCTTTAATGATAGGGTGTTTTTTTCGCGTCGATTCATTTGATACGCTTTATTTTATATATAAAAAAGTAACGGTGATTTCGTAGCGAAGATAAGTGTTATATATCGTATATAAGACAGCTACCGAGGGGCATTTTATGTTGCAAAACATCGTGGACCACCCATGCTAAACCACCCATTAAAATGCAGAATATTACATATGCCTGTATTGCTATATAAACACCGGGCGTGGCACCGCTAACAACCCCACGGTATTTATCGGCCCGGATGCCGGATGGCGAGCAGGGGCTCAACGAAACCAGACAGCGGGGGCCACTTTAATAACAACAGAAATAGGAAATGACTAGTGGTGCATGGCATAGTGCCTGTAAAAGGATAATTTCTGAAACTTCCCGCACCGTAATTGAAAGTTTATAAAAGCTTTAATTATATTTTAAATTTTTCGAAAAACTTGAAAAAATAGACGTTCTGGATAATTTTGATTTTTTTCACAGCGATTGCGCTTTGAAATATCAAAAAGCGCAATCGTGGTACGAAATCCATAGAACTACAAACTTGATGAAAATATGTACTTAATATTAAAATCTCTATAAAATCTCTGATACTTTGATGCGCAAATGTCTATGGTCATTTTTGACCGCCAAATGGCTTTTTTTTACTTTTTTCATTGACAAAAATTTAGAATATAAATAAAATTTATTTTTTCTATAAAGTTCGATTTTTTCAAAAATTTCAAAATTCTCAAAATCTACTTTTTTCAAAAGCTTCAAAAAATTTTAAAACTTCTGAAATTTTATCGAAAGTTCCAGCAATTTGCTTTCAAGCATGATGCCATGTATTACTAATTTTAAGTTTATTTCACGATGATAATTTAATAATTATAATTTCTTTAATTTATCAGGGCTTACTATTGGGTAATCTTTCGAAACTTTACAAATTTATATTTATCCCCAAAATTACAAAATTGTAGAATTGTAAAGACTGTGTATAATTTACTAAAGAATATATATGCCTAAGCTTTACAAATTTCTATTTTTTCCGAGATAAATGTTTCTCGTCCTTTTCATCTTCGCCATCATCGGACCGGCGAACGTCAGCGTCTGTTACGATTCACTTAATAATATGTTTGCGTTAAGTTTGATGGTTAACTACCATGTATTTAATTATTGATTTATTTTCACGTGTCGTATATATAATAAATATGCGAACTTGTCATTCGATTATAATTATAATGCAATATATCATAAACAAAATATCATCACGTTGTAAAAAAAATTAACAATAACTTATAAAAATTGGAAACTGAATTACTCGTGTTTGAGTAAAATATACTTGATTTAGAGGAAACTTATAGATTGGCACAGTTAATTATAATTCTGATCTGTTATTGAGCTGTCCACTACAGGAATTTTTTTTCTTTAAAGGAATTAAGGTTTGAAATTTGTACACATTTTTTTAATCGCCGTGTTGGTAATTAAATGCATATGACCACAGTGATGATCAGCAATAGTAAATTGTTTCCCGCCGAACGAATACTTGAGGAGAGACCATGTGTATCATAAATCTTCCGTCGGATATGTATCGCGATCACTAATTATAGTACATACGAATATTTCATGTTCAGGTTGTCGAGGAACTCCCATAGATTCATTCCTCATACAAATAAATACAATTGCTCGACGAGACTTGGAAACGTTTAGTTATACAGAATTTATGCATTGGATTTATAGAAACAAGCCAATATTATAATTAGTGGTGAGATTACAATATATTACTAGAACCCATTAAACAAAAGTAATCAACGAGTTAGAACTTGCAGGTAAAGCTCAATGACGAGTATTATATTCTATTACCTTCCAGAAGGAAAAGTTTATATCGCCAGAAAATTTGATTTGGTAATTTTATTTGTTTTCTATATGTGAATCGTTTGACACCAAATTTAAAAGTAGACCGTTCGTCAACGTTTCTTCAAAAACGGCTGCACCAATTTGAAAAATGTGAAAGACATTTTATGAAACTCGATAAGGTTTGCATTGATTAGTTTTGCAGGACGCTAATCCGTTTCTTTATAATTAGTAACAAAAGTGTAAACAATGTATGTATTTAAATTTTGCAATACCGATTGGCCAGATTTAAATCGGCGTCAACAAATATTTTTCGTGAACGTCTTGATCAAAAATCCTGAACTGATTATGAATTCAAAACATATTCTAAAGATATGAGTTGAAAATCGTGCTGATTAATTTTTGGTAAGGATAGGTCGGGCCGTTAAATTTTAATTGATTGATAATTTTTTTCTACTATTTTAATGAATTTTTGCATAGTGATATAGTTCTTAATAAAGATATAGAATATTGTGATGAAAAGTTAAACCACTTTTCCTAAAATATCGATAAAGTTTGGAATAATAGCCACTGTTCTGTATTTAGTAATAACCGTTGACTAGACGTCTCTTTAAATAAAATACATTTTTAGAAAACACAGTAGAATAAAATGTATCAAATAAAATAATTAATACAATTAACATTATCGTAAATTTGTTTTGAAGATATCAATTGGAAATCGCATTGATCAGTTGAAAATTTCATATAAGTGGCTAAATGGCTGAAATCTGAATTCTTATTGATTCAGTCGATTTACATATATCGGGAAAATAAGCAAAATGCCACTCAAAGTTATTATTAGTTCTAATTTCAATTCCAATTTTCTTTATTTCGGTTCCTGCAAGATTCTTGAAGTGTATTTTTAAAAGATTTTACGATGAATTAATTAATACCAAATAAAAAGATAATTGCCGGCAAAACTGTCGTATAAATGTCACCATCGAATAGTCGCAAAGATTATTTTTATTTGCGAGCTGATATCATTTGGGCATATCGAAAAACTATATCATACAGCGAGCGGCATAAAACATTCCCATAAACGCACACACGAGCGCGAAATCGGGAATATTTGCTTTCAGGACATATTCTAAATGCACCGGTCGATCGCGAATGCTCGTAAGTCGTGATACGAAGGCAATTAGGACGGCCAGAACGCTGATACAAAATAATTTACAACAAAATACAACGACTTAATGGTTTGGCAGTGGGCGTAAGATGCGGGCCAAGAACACCATTACTCACGGCGTAAGTAAACAACGGACAGACGGACGGGCGGACGGACCGAACAGAGATGAAGGCATATCGATGAGTCGCGGAAAACGGCCGAGCGGCGGCACCAATCGTTCGTTATCCGCTGCTCGCGGTGACGAAAGATCGAAAGTCCTACCTAAAGTCGTCGGCAACGATACCGCCGAGCAATATTTATATTAGCCGCGAGTAATCGCTTAAAGACACGTTATGATGAACCGGGGCTGCACCGCGCTATCCGCTATGCATATCGGCATTATTACGAATTAACAAAACCATATAGATTAATCAACGATATAGGTTCATTTAATCACATTTTCTACAATACAGGTAATTTGCAGATCGATTATCGCTTAACGGAGTAATTCTAGTCTAGAGACATGTGTTTTATGAGACGTTTCATCAACCGAATTCAAGAATTCGAAAACATTCGATTCCTACTGATGGGAAGACAACTCCTACTGATTAATTTTTGACAAAGACAGGTCCAGCCATTTCGGAGATACGGAGTAAAGAGTGCAGAAAATAGAAATTAAGTTTTTGGGAAAACAGACCATTTGAACGTAAAACATTCAATTGGTAATGATGGCAACAAGTAGTTTTTGGCAAAGACAGGTCTAGACGTTTCGGAGATACGGACCTAAATGTGCAAAAAATGAGATATTTTTTACATTTTTTTATTGTTCTCGTTTTATTTAAAAAAACAGTAAAAATTAGAATTTGGGTACTGAAGAAAAGTCTATAAAGAAAACTGTAAAAATTTCAATTAATCGGTCCCGTAAAAGTTGAGAAATCATGGGTATGGCATCGAAAAAGACAGTTTCGAGAAAAACGCGTTCAAAGCTTCGGACGAAGGAAACAGAGGAGAATTGCACTGGTCAAACAGCTATATCTCCAAAACTAATTTAAATTTTGAAAAATGTACACATATTCACACAGCTAAACTTTGCAAATACAAAAAAAAATTGGTTTTTAAAAATTCTAGAACGGAATTAAATTAAATAATTAAAAAATTACGCTACGCTAATTGACGTTCTTATAGGATTTTTATAACAAAGAACCCAATGTAGTTTTAATGATAGTAAAAAAAATATTTAAAAAATCCCAAGGTTTAACGAACAGTAAATACATAAAAATTAAATGTTATAAATTTATAAAATTAAAATTTTATATAATAAACTATGATTTTTATTTCAATATGTAGTTCGCCTATCTTCTGAATAATAAGTAGACGATTTTTTAATTAGGATTAATATTGATAAGTGCAACTTATTAAAGAAAACGTATACGATTTCTCTACGTAAAATAAAATGTATAAAATGCATACGAATCGCACAAATTAGAAATATCGATTAATGCCCTATAGAAAAATAATATTGAGAATCTTTGAAAAACTGAACTAAAGTCTATAAATGCCTTTATTAGTGACGCCATCGCATGAACGAAACGCAAAGCATATTCAAAGTAACAAACCAAAACAGCAGAAACGATCAAACAACCCCCTTTATACAGTAATTCTGTTTATTCAAAAAAAAAAACTGATTTTAATTATATTTAGGTAATTTAACAAGTTCCCACCCCAAATTCGAAACAAAAAAAAAATAGACACCTTAGTATTTTTCACATACATATAACTCAATCATTTACCTACATATTTATATTTATTATTCTATAAAAAAATATATTCACTAAATAGCCACTTACCTCTGAATCAATTTTCTGGAATTTAGGGTCATCCTCATCCACTTCAAAATACAACTCCGTCGATGTTATAGATATGGTTCCTGGTGCAACAAGGCCTGGTGCAATTAACATTCCTCTGGTACTTATATTAACTGGACCTAAAAAATAATAGATACAGAAAAAATATTAAACTTTTATAGTAAATGTTATATATACATTGATCAATGTATTTCATATTGTGGTACCTGTTAGGTCGACATCAAAATCTCTATCATCGGAGAGAAGCTCATTGTCTTCAAGAAGATCAGTAGACGTTTGAGTTGTTTGTTGTGAGCGAGCTATTGCAAGCTGTGAATGGAATTCTTCGCGTGCCTGAAAAATAAAATAAAAAAATATATGATTATTTAGAAATGTATCATCAGTATAATGTATTAGGACTTTACCTGGAGTATGGCATCTTCTGGTGCACCATATTCGACTGCTGCTTTCAAGGTAGCATGAGGATGGCTTGAACCTCGTGGATTATGAATGAAACGTTTCCTTCTGCGAGCATCGTCTTCCCATGCGTCCAACTTCCAAAAATTCGTAATTCTGAAATTTATTGAAAATATAAATACACAATTTTACATATTCAAAGAAAGCGTTTTATATTTACTTCGATGTAGCAGGTTGCACATGTCCCCATGCTCCATGTTTATTTCCCATAATGTTTCTAACTTTGTCTAATAATCTGCTTGCTATAACACTATCCCTTCTTCGTGCTGCAGTTATGAGATGATCGCACATCCTTTCCTCCTCACGTCTTTCGAGCAACGTTTGAGCACATTGGGACTAAAAATTACGGTAATACATTATTAAAACAATACACGTTAAAAGAGCTATGTCGTATTTGTAATATCCAACCTCAAAGTCAGCATGTTTCAGTACATCATCTGCTCGCATGCGGTTGAGTATAAATTCCGCCTCGTTGGCCACCCGTACTATATGATCCTTCATGGCATGCGACAACAACCTTCCTTCGTTAATCAACTCGATGAATGCCAATCCAGCATGTTTCTGCAGTGAATTCTGCCATTCTTGAGAGCATAACAACATCACCAATTCTACGACCGAAGTGCTGTTCTTGAAAGTCGTCAATCCCTTGCCTTCCATCAACAGTTCTTGCCCATGAGAACCGACTAGGGTTTTGGATAAGAATGGTGCAAAATCTACCATAATTTCCTTCAGTAAAGGACATACGGAGCCTAAAGCCATTTCTAGTTTTTGGGTGAGCGAGGCTTCACGTGACGGTGTAGCTGATGGTAAAGGTAGCTGGTCGACCAAATTTTTTATAGGATCAAAATCTTCATTGCGGTTCTGGTTGCCGGTCGTATTAAAACTTTCGGGAATGCGGACTACTGATATTTCGCCACGTGCGATATCTGTACGTTCTGCGACAATAGAATATAATAATGATTAATAAAACTATAGCGACATATTCTGATTGCGACGCATATAATAATTAATTTCCTCACCAATATGATGATGAATATTGCCTTCGTAGTCAACATTTCCTCTACCTAAATGTTGCATGTTGTGAACATTTCGTTGCTGTTCTTTGGCGTTGTTGATGGTCAATGGTGATTCTCCTTCTTCGTTCAAATTGACATCAGTCCAGCTGTCATCATTGCTCACCTGTTTATTGTCATCTGGCATATTATCACTACCAGTTTCAGCATCGACATTGGTTTCCGTGGATATTAAATTAAGAGAGGTGCCATCTTCAATTGAATCTACACTCTGGTAATGAAATAAATGATAATCAATAAGTTGATATGATTCATCACAAAAGATTTGTAACAATTGGAATACTCAACAAGTATCTTTAATACTATTAAATACATTACAGATTGGTCTTTCATAGCAACCTTTTTCTAATGCAAGTCTAAAATATCAAATTGCGCCTTACAAGCGCAGACTTGTATCGATTTAAATTTAATACAAGATCCTTAGAAGATTATTAAGATACTTTATCATCATGCAAAATGCTTTGTGCAAACATATTCTAAAAATAATTTGTAACACCTACAATATTTGTTCATTTGATTCACAGTGAAATCATGCTTGAAAAGTGATCAGTACTCACCTGTGTAAAAATAGTGCAAAGCGTTTGTGACTAATATGTTTTTGTGTTATTGGTTAGTTTTCTAAATTAAGTAATATAATACAGACTAAATTATAATTGAACATTTTTTTATCTTTAGTCAATTAAAAATTGCATTAAAATTACCATCGCACTGCATAAAAATTACCATTGAGGAAAATGTGATACTAATCCTAATAATCCAATAGACCCATACAAAAATTATTTTTCGCCCGAAAAAAATAACCCTAATAAAATTTAAATATTTAATCAAAATTTAATAATATAATATTATTTGTCGCTACACATATGGATAGAAATTACATTCGGAAACACAAAGTTTGTGCAAAAAAAAATGTTTTCTAAATTTTAACATAGGATTATCCTACAAACAAATTAAGTATGTGTTTTCAAAGTTCACAACAAAAAACTTAGGCAAAGTGTATCCTACCAGGTTGATATATAACTTTGTTGTGTTTTAGGTGAATAAGGTGGAGTTCAAATATCACTCGTGGTTTCATGTTCTATATTCTGCACGACGTCACAAAATTTAAGCAGACAAACAAAAATTAAATATTTATCTTTAAATTAAATATCACTTTGTGTGCTTTATAAATTTTGTGACTTCGCTGCTCCGTTGTTCGCCGTACCTGTTCCTGGTTAGTGGTCTCTTTAACCGGTGTCATCTCTTTAACCGGACACGAAATTTCGGCTTGCTGTTGAGCCGATGATGTCGTCGTTATATCCTTACAGCAGGAAACATCCAGTTAGTAATAGAACAAGCAAAATCAAAATGAAACATAGCAGCATTGCCCAAATTATCCAGATTTGGAAATTAATAATGAGGTGGTTGGGAAGTAATTTTATTTTTTTATCAACCACGACAGTTAACCTAGAAATATTCGATCAACCAAAGCGGCGATTTACTTGGAGTCGTGATTTCGAATTTTATTCCCAAAACTTGTACTATGTCATCATTATTAGATAAGACAACTAACTTTTAATCTCAAATATATCAAAACAGACAAGACAACCATCGGGTTGACTTCCAATGCAAAATGTATCAAAATAGACCAATAAGATTTATTTACAAAAAAAAAAACAATATTACTTTTCAAACAACCTCATAGAAAGTGCTTTCCTTCATATCAGATCTTACCAAAAATTTTATACTATAATATACAGCCATGCAAATAAAAACATCCATGAACATCATCACAGTTAGTACAATTAAAATAATCAAAATATATATAATAATATTATAAATAAATTAATGAATATATTTCATATAACATTATCGAAAAAAATTTAATTAAGTTATATGCATGCCCTGACCCACTAAAAATATCCACATGCTTCCAAATAACGAACTATTTCAAATGCATTTCAATTTAAAATTTGTTTAAAATAATTTTTATATAACCTAACTATTAATATTGGCAAATATAAATAAAATTTTGAAAAAATAATAATAATACTTTCTAGCATAATAAAGAAAATCGGTGTAATCGCATTTGAAAAATTGATTTCACAGTACTACAACTGTATTTAGTTCATAAATTATTTACAAATCGTGAACCTTCCTATTCTATAAGATATCAAGCAGATTTGAACAATATTTAATATCCCTAATTTTTAAATTAAAATCCAAAAATTTTAAATTTAAATCGATATTAAATATTAAAAAATAATATTGCTAATAATATCCACCACATTTATATACTTCGAAACCATTCAATAGTTGTATATCAAGAAATTTTTTAGGTAAATAAATTAAGTACCTTTTAAAAAAATCTTAATTTTGGTTAATATGAATCCCTGCGTTTATCGTTGTCATAAGTAAAAGCTTGTTTAAAGCATTTTAGCAAATATACAGTTATTTGATTAATTAAATGTTAATTGATTCATTAAAAAATTACCTTTATAGAAGCAGGACCACTTGAATGTGATTCTTGATCTGCTAAAACCGATGAATTATTTTCATCGACAACAATCACTTCATAGTCTCCGTCTTCTTGGCTTTGGCTGTGTACAATTCTTGATCCTAAAAAACGAATAAAATTTTATACTAATATAGTTTATTTTAACTACTACCTAGAATTTTTTATGTTTTATAAAATAAAATAAATATATTCAAGACCGTCTTTATGCAAACGAGAACCGAGCAAAAATAGAATATTGGGATAATATATCATCATATAATCATGTTGCGTATTTTGATGTACACAGTTCTTTTGGGTTAAAATTTGGTAAAAACAATTCTAGGTATGATATATTTAAAATGATTGAGAATATTTTCTACAATTCGGAAAAATCTTGGACCAACCTGGGACCAACATTTTTGTTCCGAAATGATGTCAATAGTGTCTACAAAAAAATTCGAAACGTACGGGAAGATTTTCTATATTTTACGAGGCCTTCACATTTAATTACTCAAAAAATGTTAACTTTTATTTAATATCTAATTAGATCAGTCATTATAAAGACGGCTCTGAATAAACTATTTTATAAATACTACAAGAAGCACCATAAGTATTTGGGCATGAATTACTGTGCCTAAATAAAGTGCATCGTGCATCTTTCTCATTCATTTGTTAAAAATAAATTTAAATGAATTGCCATTTTTAAGTCACACAAACAAATAAATATGAATTGATCAGGATTAATTGGTAAATCTAACAATAAGAATACATACATAATTGCAACAAATAAATTGTTCAAGTATCAAAAATTCGTATAACTATAAATTGAGTTAAATTATCAATGTTAATTATTTTTTTATAAATGAGTTTCGTGCTACAACATTTAAAAATATAAAAAGCACTATCACACAAAATCCATATGTGTCGCATAACCTTATGAAAATAGAATCGACTCAAAAAATTGAATATATTTATAAAAAATGGAAATTATTAGCTAATTTAACCCTTTCGCTTTACGACTTGTGTGTACGAGTGTCGCCTATAGACGACATCCAGTGTGTCGTCTTTTGCTTCAAGTTTTAACGCTCCGAGTTATATTATTGAAAATTCTAATTTCTGAGAAGTAATTTTAATACACACTTATTGATAAATATTCTGCTTAACAAATACTTGGGCGGCTTGTTGGTTCGTACATCAGCGTCACTCGAGCGCAAAGGGTAAATTTTAACTTTTGATATCATAAATAATTATTATTCAATGTCTTGAGTCAAAATCAACTTTCAGGGTCTCTGCGACCTCCGTATACCTGCATGGGGCCCAGTCGTTCTATAGAACTCTCGGTGCGAGTAACTGTGGTTCAGTTGACCCCCGACATAAGCGTGTTGATTATTATTCAGGTTATGATTTTTATATTGTCCGCCCCTCTGCCTATGATGGTGATGAGCGGAAAAATGATGGTTATGGGGTTGTCCAAAACCGGGATTCGTTGGGTTACCCGTCTGCTGGATGTGGGTCATGGGAGCATTAGGATGAGACCCGGGAAGGAATTGGGGGTAGACGTGATGAGACCATTGAGGAAATAAAGGACGCGCACTACCCTCTGGGGTAGAGTTAAATCCAGGGCAGCATGTGTGAAGGTGTCAGTGTTAGTTAATTTTTATAAGACGTACAGGTTGTCTTCATCTTAATAGACAAAGTTATCTTCACCTTTTAGGTGAGATAATTGAGACTATTTTTTATTTCGTATAAATTTTAGGTGTGTGTAAAGTAAATGACATACAGATTTTATTAAACACAACAGTAAAATAAGCAACGCGTTAATAGTTCAATTCGTTAAAAGTACAATTATTTATTGTGCAAGTGCCAATAAATTAAGACTACAATATCTACACAATAATTTTATAAAATTAAGTGAATTATTAAAATAACGTATTTCTTTATGACTGATTTAATGGTGTAAATAATATAATTTACAAACCTGACGGACTGTTGGAATGATGTTGCACTCGAACTGCAGGTGGAGACGGAGTGGAAATTCTTTGAACAATTGGAGGTTCCAAAATGTCACGGTATTTAGAAACCATCAGAACAGAAATAAAATACACGATTGCCAGTGATAAAAACTGAGCTTGCTTAGTCTCCTCCTGAAGACATTGAATAGACACATGTCAATAATAAACTCTAATTATTATTGTTTAAATCTAATTCTATGAAAATATCACACTTACCACATCTCTGTATATAACTGCCCGCAATCTATTAACATCCATATCTTGCAATAGCTTTTCAGAATCTTTTATAGGGCTCATTTGATTTGATACATTATCGACAATATTCTGAAAAAAAGAAAATAAAAGTTAAGTATATTAACAAATTATTTCTAAGTGAATTGAATTCTAATGATTATCTATATATTAACCAGATGCAAAAAAAAAAACAAAGAATGTGAATAAAAATTATCAAATATTTATAAAATTATAAAATAGAAAAATGAATTGATTGACAATTGGTGAGCTGCATACCAAAAATTTTGCAAATATAGTATACTGAAATAATAGTAAAAATATATACATGCCTTTGGTTGTGACCCCCATATAAGAGACTGGAGGTGTGAATTCATTTGAACGACTGGAACCCCTTGAGATGACCCTTGCATTCCTCGTTCCATATGCTGCCAATGTGGTTTTGCACGTTCTTTACACTCCAAACAATTGCGAACAGCACAAGTACAAACCTATATAATCATTGACAATAAATAAATTTTATTTAACCTTTGGTAACATAAAATCGCATTCAAGATTATTTGATGTAATTTACCAGTCGCAAACATTGACGTAATATTCCTCCGCTGGACATGTTCTTTTCTGCTTCCAGTTCACCAAAATTCAAAGAACTGGCAAATATTAACACATCAGCCATGTTAACAAGCCGCTGCAGAAAGGAAACTGCAACTTCAATGGGCATTCCTTGTGTTGGCTCAATCACATCCAATTCGTTCTAAAATAATATACAGAATAACTATTTTTGTTATAATTATATTTAATCGATAGTAGTTGTAATTACATTTGGCGATGTTGCCGATGCTAATAATGGCAATAGTCCTCCACAAGCAATGATCAAATTGTCAGCTAATTGCGAAATCAGATGCACCGTGTTCACAACAAATATAGCATTTTCACTACTATTTACAAAATCTAGGACAGACTTTGTGGAATGACTTCTCCAGACTTGGATATCTGTTTCTAGAGAAAACAGAACATCAGATAAAAGCCTCTGATGGATGTAAGACCATTTGAATTCGGGAATCCTAAACGGTGGCCTCGTTGGTCCAGGACTAAACATCGGCCGGTTGGTTGACGAATCCGACTTTGGACGGTTCATATCTAAAATATAGTTGAAAGTTTAATTTGAAATCGATATCGTAATAAATACTTAATTTATAAAAAATAATTTATTCTACTAACCACTAGTGTTATTGACTTGCGTACTGGTAGAAGCACTTCGTGGACGTTGTTGCGGCGAGGTAACTTGATCATCGGCCACTTCATCCTTTTGCGTTTCTTTATCATGAACATCAGACGGCAAGCTGATACGCCTCTTAATCTCTCCTACAGTATCTTCACCACACATATTACTATCAACGTTCTCTCGCTTATAATGATCATTCATTACTTCTCCAATCGTATTAATTTCGCATTCATTCTGCTGCCCACTGTACGAAATTGTAGAAATTTCAATTTTCTGCTTCGTATCCGTGGTGTCTTCACTTTCATCTTTACCTTCACTAACATCCATCTCACTAACATTCACATCATCCGTTTTTACATCACTATTACTAGCCAAGTCTTCATTAAGATTGATTTCATTGGACGGTTCTTCACTACTCGGGTTCATGGCACTATCAGTTAAGTTGTCAGCTAATTCACTAACTGCTGTGTCAGGTAAGGACACATTGTTTGTATCAAGTTGAACAATACTGTCTTCTTTCGTAATACTGTTGTTGCTATCATCTGAGTTTTGTTGACTATTAATACTTTCGACAGCCTTGTCGATTATATCGTCTACTACTACCTTTGCTTCACTGCGAAGCTCATCCATGTTGTCCGTATTTACAACTGTAACCTTTAAATCTAAAATATTTTTCAAATTTCCATTAGATAAAATTTTCTTTACCGGCTCTTTAGAAATTCCAGGTTCAAAATGTTCTGGACTTTTACCTGCTGAATCTGAAGGAGTTAAATAAGATTCGGACATATCACTATCTCCTCCACCATCAAAACCAGGAAGAGAATTCTTATGTAATTCGTCATCAGTCTTATCATTCACTTTATTTTCTAAACTGACATTTCCATCAACTGGTTTAGTTGAATCATCTTGAATGGAATTCAAGTGTTGCTTATTAGCATTAAGTCCGTCAGCTAATTTTTCAGCTTGACTTAATATATCGTCCACAACATTTTTTACTAAAATTTGCTTAGTTTTTAATTCTTCTAGTTCTGTACTTGATTTCTCTTCGTGCATTCCGTTATGTAAATGGGATTTTATTTCCCCGTCATCATAATTTTCTGTTTCTCTAGATTCGACGGGTTTGTTTTTCCAATTCTCAATTTTTCTGACCTCGGCGTAAATATCCTTGTCACTAGACACACATATCTCAGAGGAGTCATGTTCGTTCGTCCACTTCGCCTCGTCGCTGTTTGGACTGTTTTCGTTATCAATAGAGTTGGCATCACAACTACAAATGACATCTTTTTGCGACTCCCTTCCGTAATGGCATTCATTTTATCCCACTGTCTTTCCTTGTGACAATCGCAATCGTCGGCCGCTTGTTGGGCTTGATCCCATCCTGATATTGTACTGATTGGACGCTGCTGTCTCAAAGCCGGATCAGTAATATTGTCAGAACATTGTCTTTCGTAATGTTCGTACATTTGGGCAAATTGTAACTTAAACTCCTCATAGGAAACTTTGGAATGTACTATGGCTAACGTGTCGACCCAGACACGCCATCCTCCATATTCGTGTTTGATTGCATGATGCAGAAGCATTCGGAATAATGAGTAAACCATATCGGAAGTTTTTTGTTCCTCAGTGCTCTTGGGATGTATATAAGCCAATGCAATCAGCCACTCCTGCCATACCGACATCTGAAGAACAGTGCGTCTATTCTCCCTATGTGTATTACACAACAACGTCATATCGGATAAAAATAGCTTTTTGACTTCTAATAATTGATCATTCTGTTTTGATTGTCTAATAAGCGTAGCTACAACTTTCAGCACCATAGGATTTTCTAACCGAAAATGGCTTTCAGGTTCCGGATGTCTGGTATACAATATCTGTTGCGATATATGCTCTGTCATAATTTCATATAGTACATTATACGTTGGTAGAGACAAAGATTCTTCATGAATAAGTAACCTCTCGGCCAACAAAGTATAAAGATTGTGTGGACTCATAACATCGTATTTTCGTTTATGGGTACTACGACTGAGGAAGAATCCCAGCAACTTCAATGCTTGTAATCTTATTAATTGACTTTCGGCTGCAAGAAGTTTAAATATGGTCCTTACACCTTGTTTTACATCGAACGCGGGTACCATGGAGGAGGGATGTTCAGACATCAACGATATAAGCATTTGCAAAACATCGTGCAAATTTTCGTCTTCGTGTAGTGTTGTGAGGTAGTTTAAAATACTTTGAAGTTCATCGTCTTTTACACCATTTCCAATCATGATTAGTTGTTTCAGAAACATTAGAATATACGCACGGATAGCCAAAATGTCTTTCTGAGCTGGTCGAGGCCCATCTAAAGAAAATTTAAATAATCAGTGAATATATATGTTTTATAATCAATCGTCACAAATAGCACTTACGACTGAAGTTTTGAACAATTAAATCATATTGTCTAATAAAATTATATAAGAAATGTAATATTTTTAATTAAATTAGATCATAATTTCACACTAATTAATGTTCAACATATTATTTTAGTAAGCATAAAATCAATAATCCTCTAACCTAGTCCTTTCGGCGTGATTCCACTCTTCGTCCTCGGGTTGATCACCCAGTAGTAATACTTAAGAGTGTGCACCGTCTGCAATACTGTCGATATTCTCCGGACATTAGAGTAAATTTGTGTATCAGACAAGAATTCAGTGGCCAAATACGAATACAATCGAGCTTGAACAGCGGCCGAAGTGTAAATCCACAGAGCCGGATTGAATAATATATGATCCAGGAGCTGCCACGTGAGAAATGAGAAACAAAACAACTTTGTCAGAATTGATCAGCCTGCTCTTGCCACAAACCGACATGGCGGGATGCAGCATGATGCAACTAATTTGTAAGTAATAAATGATACTATACTAGGACTAACACAAATGAGTAACTACGAGGTCTTATACATAGTAAGTTTACTAATGAACGAGACTAAGTTGGAGTAACACTTGCAAAAGCTTTTTTTCTTTTCTTTAAAAGTCAATCAAACTAGTGAAAGCACGATAATTTAAACCAATCCACAATTAATGATATCACAATGAATTACTTTTGTGATTTTCTACATGACGACATAATGATAATTTTTATCCTATGAAACGATTGAATTAACAAAATTAATGATTAAAACTAATGAATCGATAAATGAATGAATAAATATGTACTAATCAATTAAGGTTTCACTGAAGTGAGTGACGTAGGCATCCATGGTACCGAGCAAGTGCATCTAATAAAATTTAAAAAATATTATGTCTGTAAACCGAATTTTTTAAATCGGAACCAAACAAATCTCTTGATATAATCATTTAATATAAATCATTTCTGAATTACATTCACCTGTTTCAACATCAAATCACTGTTGGCAGATTGGCACGTAACAAGGTACTTCGTAAGACTCAGGAACGAATCTAAGACTTCTGTGGTCAGGTGTTCTCTTGACGATCGCTGCAGCATGAAGGAAATGACCAGGAATCCTCGATTTTGAATGATATGCTGTTGGACCGTCTGCGAACTTTCGACCAGCTCACATATAAATCCTAACAACTTCGAACTGAAAAAATAATTAAATATAGTATTTATTAACTCGATACAAAATTTGCAGCAAAATAACACAAATCCAATTAAATGCTTCATATTATTATATTAAAAAAATCAAGTTAAAATATTTTTTATCGATTGACATATTGTATAAATAACGAATAATTTTTTCGTATGATATATGAAGAAACTCTCAAAGTTTTAAATTCCAAAAGTTTCTTAAGTGATAAAGTTGGAAGATGATAGATGGTATTTATTCATGTGTTGAGTAATAAAACTTCTGGAATGAAATCTAAATTTGCCGCATTTATATAAATGATGTTATGCAGAATTGTACTTTTGAAAAAATATGCTGATGTAATCGATAAAATAACAAAATGAGATTTATATTGGAATTTTTTCGGAAGAAGTAATTTTAAGAACCAATATTATTAGAAATAATATAAAAATAAATAATATTATATAGAATAAAAAAAATGGTTATTGACTTACCATAATGTAGGGTCTCTTTTAATATCAGCAGCCGAGAGGCAATCATAAGGCATATCAAGTTGCGAGAAAAGTGGAAATAATATTTGAATTCCTCCGATTGAATTTAACGTACTATGAATGGAATTTGTTATAACTGCTTTAACATCCTGTAAAAGTATAAAAAATGAATAATATTAAAATATATTTGATGTATATAGGGCTGTCAAAATCCGTCGATTTTATAAACCAGATCCACCTTTTACCAGAACCTCCAAACAATGTATCTGAAGATTGGAATATAATTAGATTTCATTTATCATCTGGTTCTTGTCCTTTGGTATTGGTATTTTGACAGTCAAGTGTAAAGTATTTAAAATATATTTAAAATATTTTTATATTTTTATTACCTGCAGCATGAGGGCATGAGGTGTGTGCACAAAGTAGGACATGTTGCCCTTCGGCGCCGATTGCAGACAAAGTTGGCTGTCGGTCGCCACCGGGTTATACATGAACACAATCGCATTCGATAATTTACCATCGTACAAAACCTAATTATTTAATTAAAAATCATTTTTAATAAATTCACAATAATAAAATGAAAGTTTTAAGACGTAAACTCATAAATATATACTGCTGATAAAATTATTGGCTTAACAAAGACATATATGAAATTATTGGCTTATGAATATAAATTCATATTGGTACTTTGTATATATATTTTAAAATTCAAAAAATATAATTATTAAATTAAGAACAATTTAAAAATATTTAGATAAATTTTGTCTAAAAGTATATCGTTTCGAGGAATTAAAGTAGCAATAAAATAAAAAAAATCTTTTGAACAAGTAAATGTTTCTAAATTGAACACTAATGAATAATCTAGTCGTTATAAATTACATACATTTTTTTTTTCAAAACTCGATGTATTTTAATAAAAAAACCTTTAAATTTAAATCGTTAACTAAAGAAATTTAAACCACTCGCATATTATATTTCTATGAATTTAACATAGCAAAATAAAAATTCAACATTAAACCAAATTTGCTCAAAATGATCAAAATTAAACAAAAAATCATACTTTGATATGAATCATTATTTGATAAAAATTTTTTCTATCATATATAGATTTTTTTTAAATATTATATACAGTTCAGAAGAATAAATGTTTAAAACTTCGGGTAAAATTTGATCGTAAATATTGTTAGTTGTTAAAACAAGCAGTATAAAACATATAACAAATTATAATTAATTATCGTTCTAAATTATGCACACGTGTAAAACTTAAAAAAAAAATATCAACATGTTATAAAAAGTCTTGAACACTGACTATTTTTCCATGTCGAATTCATTAATTATTCTTGACCATTTTTTAACTAGTTTAGTGTCAAATCTTCTATTATTTATGATTTTTTCAACGTATACAGCATAAAATTGTCTACACCACATTCATTTAAAATAAACATCTAAAAACTACTTATTAAAAAAGCAAAACACACAAAACACGATTTTTGTCTACGGTTTTCTATTCTATACATTTCTCTGTACTAAAGCGAGTATAAAACATCGAATTCAAATAAAAATTCTAATTAAAATTAAAAGGAATTTCTAAAAATAAATCTTGTGGTGCATTGATAAAAATATGAACTTTTTGTACAAAATGTGGTAAATTTCGTGCAATACTTATGATAGCTAAAATATAAAGAAAGTCACTTAGGAATAATTTGAGAAAAACTAGATATTTGCATAAAATATTAAAGGCGAAAATTGAAAGATAATTATATTATGCATAAATTAATATTTAAAACTTCATATTGAACAATTGAATTAAAAGTAAATAAAACATCATAATTAGGATATTGTTAAAGTTAAATTTTTTAACAACGGTTATTTAAATATCCACAGATTTTCAAATTAATTATTCCAAAGTTCGTCATTTTTTCCTTGAGCTAAATTAAATGAATAATCTACATGCCTAATATCACACATATACATTTAGAAAATAAAATAATTATTTTATATACATTTTTGTAATAAAATTCGTAAACAAAATATGTTAACAAATTAATTCAAAATATAATAATAATGGAATAAATGAAAACTGATGGTGGTAGTGCACCAAAATGTAATGAATTCTTGATTTTATTTTTAAATGTAAATGTGTGGTATATTAAAATAAAATTACAGATATTTCGAACTAAGTATCAAAATCTGATAAAAAACATTTCACTCCAACGACAAAAATCAAAACTGTAACTACTTTGAAAAAAAAAAAACGATAATTAAAATATAAAATACACAAAATCAATAATTGAATAAACCAAGAAAGAAGTGCTCATCTAGTTTCAGTAATAATAAATATACAACACACCTGGCGTATAATATACAAAACACGAAAATCACGGCCGTGAAAAATAAACCTGGAAAAAATGATTTAATAGGGACAATCTGTCCCACGTAGTAAAAACAAAATTGCCCATCATTAAAAATATGGAAATTCTTCCCTAGAATTTGTCAGTTTCAATTAAATATTGCTGGATACAAATTCGTGTCATGTGTCCGCTCTAATTGGATAAATAGAATTTATAAATATTTCATAAAAAGTATTTCTGATCATTTAAATATATGAAAATCCGATATTACATTTTGGCGTTTGTTCATATTCGGCATTGCGTGGATTTTCATAACGAAACCAAATCAATATTGACAAATATCTGAGTGATATTTTAAAATTTTAAAAATGAATCAGCACGATTCCCGACTAATATTTTTGTGTTTTTAAAATCAGTTCAGAATTTTTGGCTAAAACGTGAACCAACATGTTTACACTTTTCTTCTACTTCGAAAGAAACGGCTTGGCCGATAGTCGTGTAAAACTATTCAACGCAGGATCTAATCGAGTTTCATCAAATGGTTTTTAAATTCTTGAAATCGGTGTAGCCGTTTTTGAGAAAACATCTACACAAAGTACAATTTCAATAGTTCATAAAATTAATTAAAGTTACTTTGTTAAAATTAGTACAGTAGTCTAGTTTACTATTGTAAATGTCTATACAGTGGCTATCAAAAATGTTATTTCATCAAAAAATTATACCGTCGTAAAAACACATTTCATCACATGCATTTATTATTCTTTCTAATTTTCTAAAAAAATGTTAGCGTTAGAAATATATTCCTCTATGCGTAAACAGCTATCGTATATTAATTGGTAATTTCAGAAACCAAAAAAAGAACATTGATTTGCGAGACATTAATTTATATACATGGTGACAAGCAATGTACATATTGTCAATTGCAAAAAGCTCTTATTGCAACCACACTTGTGCGAAACACATGAACACAATATTTAACTGGTCAGGCCGTCTAATAAAATAATTATCTAATAAAAATTAATTAGCTCTAAATTTATCGTTAGACAAAAATTATAATTGTCTATTGCTTGGCTGATTTTGAAATTGCACTTAAAAAATAAATTTGCACATTAAAAATAAAATTTCGTTCCATAACCCTGCACTGCACTAATATTTTTTAAACTAAATGTCTCGTTTCCAGTGATTGTCATAGATACTTTTTCAATATTAATTTAACATATCACCAAATCAAATCTTCATCTTGTGCTTCAAGGCAAAGTTATAAAAGATCTATTTTTTTATTATTAATCTATTCGACGGTATTTACAAAAATATTGAATTTTATATTTATTGGAATTATTTTATTATTATGTATGTCGCGAATGTATAATTTGAATCATTTTTTTCCTAAATGTGAATGAAGAAAGCGCGAATAAGGAGCGTTTACTGTAAAGCGAGTAGTCTTTCATACATAATTATATTTAATTTAAAGAAATGCCAATTTATTAATAAAATCATAAGTCTTATCTATAATGACGGCACTGATAGTACGTGACGTTCGACTGAAAACCAAGTAAATTATGATTATATATTTACACGTGACACAAATAGGCGCCGCTTGACGGACGGACACAACTAAATCGGTTCTCTGAAATCCGCGATCGGTTGCGATCTGGCAGAACACTTCTTCAACGAAATAATAATATAATAAATAATAATAATAAATTAAATGCTTACGGATGCGGTATCATTGTCTAGCAAACATGGCAGCGTTTCCCCAGACTCACTCACCCTCTTATGGTTCTCCGGAAGATTTAAGTAGCACTCATTGTCGAAACGGAATTGACTCTGCGGAGGAGAGCAAATAGAAATTAATGTCACAACCGTACGAGTTGAGTATAGTATATAATGTATATAGGCAAATACACAAGGACACAATTACACAAAAACATGGATTGTTTATATAACACAAGACGGGTGTTTTAATAAGGAATCGCTTTGTCGTTTGGGATGAAGACACGCTCGGCGAATGTCTGCGGCTTTGTCGTTAAGAGGAAAATCGTAGATATAAAAGTAATAAAAGCATTAAAATTATGTATATATAATTATTATTATTACTCACTTTGTACCCGGGTCCGAGCCTGTGCATCGCACATATCTGATGCGTCGTCAGTGCTTCGCTGAACAAATATATCGCCGATGTCTGCCCGCAGAAGACTCGTTCCTCGTCCAATTCGGGTGTAGCTCCGATGTAGCACTTGTCGAAGGGCTGAGAGAATTCGAATTCACAAAAAACACTTATTATTAGAAGAAAAAAACTAATAAATTTCTTATGCGAGTATTCTAATCTTAGATTAAAGGCCATGAATTTTTACGTTTTTTTAAAGAACGTAACAAAAAAACAAACAATATTTTTACAATATAATATTTCACGATTTAATTTTAATATTTAAATAATATAAAATTTTAATTTTAAGAGGTAATGAAGTAGGGGTCTCAAAAAATTGGCACCAGACCATACCCAAGAATTTAGCCCTCCAAAAAATTTGAATTTTATTTATAATATGTTAATAATCTAGAATAATAATCGTGTGCACTACAAACAAGTTTAAATATTTTTTTATAAAATATATTATAAATATATATCATTTTTTTATAATAAATCATACATTTTACAACTTTTTTTGACATTTTCGAATTTAAAAGAAAACTAAAATTCCAAATTTTGGGATGAACATTGTTCATACTAAAGAAAGTCTATAAAGAAAACTCAGAAAAAAATTAAAGTGAATCGGTCTAGTAAACTATTAGTGGATATTGTATAGAAAAGGACAGTTTTCAGAAAAATGCGGTTGTTGATCGCGAAAAGTTAACCAACATATAAATACAACTAAATTTCTTAGTCGAGTTTCTAAAACTCAGTTTCATCAAATGCATTTAATATTTTTGAAATCGGTAAAGCCGGTTTTAAGGAAAAGTCGACGAAAGATGATTCAGAATGATTTGAAACGTCCAAGAAATATAAAATTAATAAATAGACAACTAATACATTTTAAACAAATTCGTCTCACACCATCCATATTAATAGAATGATTATTATCCACAAAGTGTATACAAATCAAATGCACTTTTTTTAACGCACCACTCATAATCAGATTAATGAAATATATTCAACTGCAATTTTAAAGTATACCGAGTTGTTCTAGGACACACAATATTGTAAATTATTTTATTTTAAACAAGTTCTTCTCAAACATCATTCATATTAATCGTATGGTTTATGATAGACGAGCTTTATACTAAATAGAGTTTGTCGGTTTTCAAAAACCGTTTTTTCAGGAGAAAATTATGGATTCCCAATTTTTTAGTAAAAATTACCGGTTTTCAAATTTCAAATGTAGCATAATGTAAAAGATTGATTGTTGCAAATCGACAACCGTCCTTCGTATCAATATTATGAAAATATTCACATTATTTATTATCAGTAAATAATTTCAGTCTAAACTGCTTTGAATTGCTCAAAATTTTTTCGTTTAATAATAAACTAATAAAAAAAATATTTTTAACAACAATTTTAATTATACTCAACATTATTGTTCTACTTATTCATATTTATTACAATTTTAATATTTTCTCTAATCACTAGCAAAAGCACTGAAACGTAAACCATTTCCAACGTCACAAAAATAATACCGTTGTTTTAAAATTCATTATTATTTCTACAGGTTTAAAGTACACTAAATTGTTAATTAAAAAAATCGAATTGTATTTTTCGACATGAGCACTCACGTACTCGTTATTTAATTATACATACTACGTATCCACTTATTTGATTGCAAAAACAAAAAATATATAAATCGAGTGCACGCATAAAATTCTATTTAATTTTGCACAAAATCAAATATTTATATTTCAATTATTAAAATATATAATAAACGTGTAACGAGAAATTTACAATCGCAACGTTCGCATGGATCACGTTCTGTTTGCCCATTCGTAAAATTATTATTAATTGATTACTATTGTACATTTATCGGTTGGAATGATTTTATGTAATAGAAAAATTAAATTGAACTCACATCATTAGTTGAAACAAACCACGCCATTTCCGTACTGGATGCTATTTGGCCATTAACTACACATTTTATTTCGCTTTTCGTCCAACGATTGTATATATAAACTATTGCAATCATATACCACTGGAATAAAAAATATATATTATTGATTGGTTTTATTGAAATTATTTATGGGGCTGTTGGGAAAGTAATTTCTTTTTTGCAGTCAGAAGATTTAATTTTATTACTTCGACCTGTTTTACATTTTTATTAAAGAAATGATAACAATTCTGTTCAATCCAGAAAGACTAGTCAGTAAAAATTAAAAAGTCTCACTTGAAAAATTTAAGAAATTCAACTGTATCATTTATTAAAAAATAAAATTACTTTCCAAACAACGCATAATGATGATATGAACTTACTTTCCTAGGTTGGAATTCATATTTAACACAATGTTGGAATCCTTTGCCTTTAATTTTCATTGATGTTAATACTAAACAGTTTCCTACAAAATGAGCCGAGTAGCCTACACCTTTACTAGTTTTAAAACTGAAATATAACATAAATAAGATAAAATTAGAATTCTAGATATAAATTAACTAATAATATCACAATTGTTTTAATTACAATTGTTAGTGTATTACTAATAATATATATTTGTTAAAATATTAACAGTTTTTAGTAACAAGTATCATTATAGTAATATATAATTAATTTACTGAATGACCATTCTTTAAAAAAATATTACAAATGTTTTCACTCCGAAAAAACAACATTTTACTACAACTGGGCAAAATACTGATTGTGAGTGAAAGTCAATGACCAACTAAGTAGTTCAAGAACAATTATTAGTAACAAAAGCCAAATATATTTTTATATCACTTACCAATATAAATAAGGTTTCTCTCGTTCGATATTAACTGAATTGATTGGATCCAATCTGAACCACGTCGTGAATGTAAAACCATTCTCGTAAGGCCATTTAGCTAATGGCGGCAGAACCACGGCCTGAAAATGGAAATTAATATGTAAATAAAATATGCAGAAGACGGAAAATGCCCATGTATAAAAACTTACGGATCCTTTTCGTCCCGGAAAGCTGAAAAATACATCGGGACCGTTTCTGTGAGGCATTTGGCGCAGGACATTCAGAAGTTTCGGCGAATGACGGGGCTAATATAATAAATAAAATAATAATTGATAATTTCGATATATTTTCGAAGTTTACTTGGAGTAATTTAGTCTTACCCATTTTCCGTTGACAGATTTCATCGATCCGAAAAGTAATTTTAATTCCTTTACAGTAATACTGTAACTGGCAAGAACTCCGAGCATGTCTATGAGCAAATCTGTAAAGGAAAGAAAGGAAGTTTCTTCAATGGAAACTGTGTGTTGTGCATTAAACTAAATTGCTGAAACTTTACAAAATGTTACAAAATTTTGAAAAAATTAAAATATAAAACTAGGTTCCACAAATAACTAAATTGGTTATATTGCGAAACAAGGCAAATTTTCGTCCATTCATTCTAAGGTAGGCAAAATAACCAGCAACTTTGAAATGAAGAGATGGAAAAAGTGTAGTTTTAGGATATTTTGCTAATTTAATAAATTATCCTATAGTAAATTAAAAATATCCTTACCTGCAACAACAACTTCCGCACGTGGTAGCCTGGCCAGGACGTGTTCTATTAGACCCACATCCGTGCAAGCCTGCAAGTTTCGAACACTTTTTCGCAAAATTGCTATAAAAACGCTCCATATCTCCGCCTGAAAGAAATAAGAAATATTACTTTAGTTTTGTATTAATTAAAAATATGAGAAGCTAATTTTAGTATCACGTTAATCTTATATATATAATAGTAAATGATAAAAAAATTTAATTTAATAGACAAATTCACTATTGACGCTTGGGAGCCTAGAGAAAAATATTTCAAGTATATATTTCCCATGATAAAATCGTCCGGACGTTCACAATTACCGCCAGTAACAAGAAGAAAATACATACATACATTTTTCATATCTTTTCCTGCCACTTAATAAAAACTCATATTATAAAATTAATGCGATGGAAACTATGACCCCGGATATGAATATTTTATAATTTTAGTTTCAAAGATAATTCAAGTGTCGAGAAACACGTCATAATTTACTAATGAAGTACAAATTTAATTCCCATGCGATGCTGGAAATTGCATTTTATTATTGAAGTGGTCCATTAATATGCATTTGAACTTGCTTATATATATATTCCAATTAGCTAAATTATTTGCTACTTGAATGTAATACCATATATATTTATTCCTGGCTCAAACAATAAATTTTCCGTTTGTTATTTTTTTTGCAAAATATCTATTCTCAGTTACCTCGGGTAAAGAACATTCGTGTCCCAAAGAAGTTCCTGGTTCTACTTTCGGAATTCGGAATTTTGTATGAGTGTATAGTGATCTCATAAATTAGTGATGCATCGGGAAATAAGAAAGTTCTTCTCCGAAAGACAGACAAGCTCGTATCACGCAATGTGAAAGATATAAGGCAGAGGCTTTCAAACCAACAGGTGAGACGCTTTCATTTCACAAAATATAAATATCAATCGAATTATTTTGTAATATTTTTGATTAATATAAATTGAACAAAAATATTCATGAATATAATTAAAAATTCTCAATTTCAGAACCCAATCCCGTGGATTTTTATACTAAAGCTATAACGTTTAAAGCTTTTACCGTAAATAATAAAAACCTCTCCACAGCAACAAATTTCATTAGTGGCAAATCAAACATAAAAAAATCTATATTAATACGAAAATATTCCACATAAAAATTAACTGAAAAAATGTATATCAAAAATGATCAAAACATTACCATCGTTGATTAAAATAAAATTTTTGAAAAATTAAATATTGCAATAAACATACAGATGTAAAATTTAATTTTTGATTATCTCGATAAGATGAAACTAAATAGGTGGCTGGTGCTAATTATAAGTAAATAATTAAATACAGAAATCAATTATTGCTTTAAAAATATATGTAGTTTATTTTCTCAGCATAGCCGAGTGTCGTCAATGAAATTTCATTTTCCTCCTCGATCCTCAGTTTAGAAACCGCTGGAATTCCAGAGAATTCCTTGATGTCTCCTCCGAGAGGTAAGTAAGAAGCAAATAAATCTGTCAAACCGCGTTTTTCGTGAAACATCTAAGCCGAGTAACGTTGTATGTCTGTCGGTTATTGCGATCATAACTTATATAAAATGCGAAACCATTAAAGTTCAGGCTTATTTTTTTGCAAATTGAAATAAATATCACGCTTTTTAGTGAACGCGTCATGTCATACAATATCATCATCATACGACCAGACAGAGATACTTGCTCCAGAATAAATGATTGATGATTACAGATTTTGTGCATTTGTAAGTTATTTGACTCTTTCGACCAAGAAGGTCGTTTACATTATTTCATTTTTACGTAGTACATAGCGAATTTTGTTATTTACAATGAGGGTATTAGTATTAGTTTGACTTTGAAATTGCAAAAAAGCTATTCGAAACATTTTCTTATTTTTGCCGTAGTCTGTCGTGAAACGTAAAATTTTAGCAGTAGAGTGTATTTTTCTTTAAGAAATTTATATTAGGACACAGATCTATCTCATCGAAAAAGTTTTTGAAAATGTGTTCTAACATAAATTTCTTAAGAGAAAAAATGTTGTTTTCATTGCATTGAATTTTATTAACAAATCCCAATCTGACAAACGATTCAAAATATCTATCTGTATAAGACCATGTAAAAAGGTCTCACAAAAAGATCTTTTATCAATCCTTTATCCATTCTTAACAACTCAGATTGTTAACCTTTTAACTGTGTACTGTATGCTCACTAATTTGTTTGTATAATTTATTTTAATTAGTTTGTAACACTAATTTGTTTGTATAATTTACGTATTTGTTGCAAGTTCTTATTATAATTACTGATGTGTCACTAGGTTCTAATTCATCAGAAGATAGTAAACTTATTACTTATGAACTTCCCGTAGAGCAAGTTACAGTAATCGCAAAAAAATCGAAAATGAAATTTTTTATATATCTTCACGTTTCAGAGCTTTCGAGAAAAACATTCGATTCGTATTGATAAGGAGACGTGCTGATTAGTTTTTGGCGAAGGCAGATCTAGCCGTTCCGAAGATATGGGGCAAAAAGTGCCAAAAACGGTAACTCAGTTTTTAAGAAAACGGAGCGTCCGATTTGAATAATACAAAAAGCATTTTACTTGTATTACTAACATTTTACTATGCCATGCGCTTCACTAGTTTTATCATGTTACCACGTGAACTTCAGTTTTGGAAGTGAAAAATAAGCTCGATCCAACTCTGTGCTATCCCCACTATCGGTACAAAAGCTCAATGCCATGAAAATCGCTGTCTTCATTGCCAAAGTAATAACATAAACATAAGTTTGAACACTTATATATATATAAACTATATATATATATATATATATATATATATATATAAAATTGACAAATGAATTTCTGGCAAAAATATCTCCTTGAGGAAGTTCAAAAGTGTTACATCAATTTTGCTGTTATATTATTCACCTACATAAAATTTGATGGGCATGTATCTGCATATCTACCTTTTATTCAATTGTCGCTATTTTATCGTCCATATCATTTCGTAAACGCATTTACCTACCGATCGCATACTATAGGAAGAGATTCCAGTTTCCAGTTTCCAGTTTCCACCTGCACCATGGTTCGCCGACACCATGATGAAGATTGGTTTCGCTCATAAAGGAGAGGAGGCTATCGAACGATTTCGCGCGAATCTCGTTATGCATTGATCACGGTTCGTTTTATTCTCTCGATTTTATTTTTATTTAAAATTCGACCATTGCGATTCGATTCCACTATTGCAACGACTTCATTTTATTGCATGGAAACCGCATCTGATATCGGATACGTTATTTTTAACTTCCCGAAGGAGAGAGAAGTTTATGTTTTCGCTAGAAAACGCGATTTGCTAATTTTATGTCTTATATACACATTTAAACATTTAGAAATAAGCAGATGAAAATTTGATCTATATAGCTAAAACACAATTCTTATCCATTATCAATTCTCCACAGTATCACAGAGGTTATGCATCTTCTTGCTTTAAGACAAAGTGCCACCTACATACTTCAGGTAAGTTTATTAATTTTATTCACCTTACTAAGCGGGGATAGTGTTATTACAAAGTTCTGATCTACGTTGTATACATTATACGTAATGTTTACCATCTTGTTATAATCCTGTGATCAATTATAAATTCTAAAGTAGATGAATGTTGTCGTGTTTGCGAACATGTTACGACTTGATTATTCCAAGGAGATTCGGCTGCATCAACAATGTCCGCGCAGTTACCACGGCACGTTATCTCCTGAATAATTGAGTGGACGGACCAAGGTGTCCACTTTCGGAACTAATCTAAGTAAGTGTCCCAGGATATTCGACTTGAGGCGAGTTTCAAGGATAAATACGACTATGCTGTTTTATGACACTAGGTGTAAGTGGCATTTCGCCCTAAAGCAAGGTAAGATATCCACATACATCGACCTGATCAATCTATTCATTTTGAAAATAAAGTCAAAGAAAAAACCTTACTCTGTAACTTCCTGCAGGGAAAATTATAGTAATCGGCCAAAAATCGAAAATAACATTTTTTGCATATCTTCACGTTTCAGAGGTTTCTAAACATTTTGGCATACCTTAATACCTGATTAGTTTTTGGCAAAAGTTGGTTCAGCCGTTTCGGAGATACGAAGTAAAGAGTGCAGAAAATAGAAAACGAGTTTTTGAGAATACGGAGCATCCGATTTAAATGATTCAGGAACATTCAATTCGTAATGATGGAGAGAAATGGTGACAAAATTTTGTCAAAGACAGGTCCAGCCGTTTCAGAGATTTTGAGCTAAATGTGCAAAAAAATGCCGTTTTTGAGAAAACAAAGCGAAACTTTGCTTGTATTGACGAAAATATTATTTTTGGAGATAACAAATCTTTTTTCTGATTTTCAAAAAAATTTTTTTTTGAATTTCGAAAATAATTCGGATTTTAAATACAATTTTACAAAGATTACACTTATATACTTTAAATAATTTTATTTTTGCCATTCAGTTTATATAATTCTCAGAAATATGAAATAAGATTCTTCATTCTAACTCTGCTTGTTTAAGTTTTGTTTTCATCTAAAATTACAAAAACGTTATCGTCAAATTTTTAAGCTTTTCTATTTTGTCTATAAAATAAGAATAATGAAAGTTACAGTATTTATATAATAATATTTTTGAAAACATTTAATAATCTTCGAATATTTCATTGCGGAACGGGAAGTTCTAGCAATTTGCCTTAAGAATGCCATACAACACTAGTTATTTCCAAACCAATTTTATAAGTTAATGTAAAATACCGTGAGATAATGAATCTCAAATAAAATAACTGGATTTCGTTTTAAACTCACATTTCAAATTTCATCTTGTATTTCTCGTATGGGTAGTTAAACTAAAGAAATTAACAAGATGACAACAACATTCACAATAATTTTTTATGTAATAAGTGTTACAACATTTAATTTTATAAAATATATTTATTACAATATAAGTTTCTAAATCATTAATTTTAAAACTTACAACAATATCGATAAAAAATTGGATAATTGCCAAAGGAAAGTAATTAAGAAAATACGTAATTTACGATGACAAAAGCTACACTTGAACTTCCTATGTATAACGGATCAT